CTTCTGTGGGGTGACCATGGCTGAGGTCTGGCTGTCCAGCCGCCTGCTCTTTGCTGCAGTCTGTTGGTCTGGCTGTCTGTCCTCCCTGGGGAGGCTGGGACTGGCCCTGCTGCGCCCTGCTCATTCCTTTCTGGTTGAAATCAGCCTGGGTCCGGTTCTGCTCCTCGCACCGAGGACCTGAGGCAGGGCTACGTTTGGGGCTCGGCCTCTGCAGAAGCCACCTAATTGCACAGCTATCTGTTATTTGCTTTGAACAACAAAAAACGTTTTCAGAGCTATGCCAACAGCACGCTGACCCTCAGAGGACGTCACCAGCCAGCCCAGCGGCCATCGTCCTGGCCACCCACCCACCCACATGGGGTGCTGCTGCCTCCCACAGCCAGCACTCAGGCCTGTCACAAATAGAACGAGTCTGGGGGCTGCTTGTGGCCGTGACCCAGTTGGCCAGGCCACACCCATGGCATAGCCGTCCCTAGCAGGAGACTGGGCAGATGCCCAGAGGGGCCACCATGGCTGCTGGCTGCACACGACCCTCCCAAGCCTTGCCCTCAAGGGGTCGCCCTGCTGCCAGTGTGGGCACTGAGGACGGTGGGTGCTCCAGGGGCCAGGATGGGGTGCGGCTCAAAATATTGTAGAAAAACAAATCTGCCTGCGCTGGGGCCACGCCCCAGGTTGTCCTCTCCCGTCCACACCATGGAGCTCATGTCCAGCATCTCCGAATAACGCCTATGGCCTCTCCGCCCAGATGCCTCCAGTTTGTTGTTTGAGCTGTGTATTCAGATCCTCGCACAACCCAGGGCAGTGGGTTCCGTCTGTGTGCCTCCCCGAGGAGGCCGGGGTCTCTCCTGCAGCCCCGCCTTCCCTCAGGCAGAAAAAGATGGGAGGCGCGGTAGTGAAGTGAGGAGGTCGGGCTTTGCTGTGTGACCCCGTGCAGATCCACTGCCCTCTCTGGGCTTCAGTCAAGGGAGAGGTTGTGATCTCTAAGGGACTGTCCAATTCTGACAACCAGACCCATGCCAGGGCGGGAGTTTGATGAGCAAGTCTAGACCTCATCTCCCTCCTTCCAGGGACCCCATCGTGTGCCAGACCAGGGTGCAGAGTGGGGAGCCCACAGGCCCTGCCCTCGACCCGGAGTTCCACTGCACGCAAGGGCAGACCCAGTCCCTCGGCCCAAAGCCGGGGAACCCTGGTGGCTGGGTCTTAAAGCATGAGTAGGGCTCCCTGGGCCCTGAGAGGAAGGCTTTCCACAGCCGTGAGGAGCACAGCGGGTGGGAGAGTGGCGTGTCCACAGCCAGGTTGGTGTGGCTGGAGGAGAGTGTGTGTGGGAGGCTCATGGCCTCGCTGGTCATTCTCTACCCACTTCTCTGTCCTGGGCACTGAGCTGCTCTCCTAGTGGACACTGTCTGTGCCTGCAACATGCCCTCGCCATGCAGACCAAGGGCTCCTGCACAGAGAGGTAGGCTGGTGAGGCACTGGGCAGGAGATGGCCCGTGCAAGAGGGAACGGGCCCCTGCAACTCTCTGGCCGGGACCGGGGGCTCCTGGCATGCAACCCTGGAAGACGAGTCCCTGGGTGGAGTTAAGGGCGGGACGGCCTTGCCCAGGAGAGTAGGGGAGCCTGGAGCAATCTGGTGGTCCCCTTCGTGAGCAAGGGCTCAGGACCCCTCTGCCTGTTCCTGCTGCAGGAGATGATGAAGGTGTCCGATGGCAGCCTCCTGGGGGACCCTGGGGACACACCACTAAGCAAGAAGCAGGGTGTCAAGTGGCAGAGGCCGAGGCTCACCCGCCAGGCCGTGATGCGGTGCTGCCTGGTCAAGTGGATCCTGTCCAGCGCTGCCCCGCAGGGCTCAGGTAGGGCTGGGGCGGGGCTGGGGATCTGATCGGAGCTCTGTCCTGTCTGGGGGCTCAGCGATCAACCTGGGGCCCCAACCCAGGCCATACCATCTCTGTCTCCATCGGAAATGTTTTCATTCATTCGTGCCCGTCCTCATTCATCCATGCAGGCCACTGAGCTCAAGGCAGGGCCCCCGAAGGTGGAGACAGAGGGCTGGGACCATGCTTAGGTGCTACTGGAGTCACTGGTGGGGTGGAGCCCAGTTTCAGAGGCTGGCAGGCTGGGCTTGCTGCACCCACCTCACCTGCTGGGTAACATGGGCCGGAACTCATCCTTTCTAAGTCCTCTGTTGCCCGGCCAGTGTGGCTTAGTGTTTGAGCATCGACCCATGAACAGGAGGCCACGGTTCAATTCCTGGTCAGGGCACATGCCAGGGTTGTGGGCTCGATCCATAGTTGAAGGGCATGCAGGAGGCAGCCGGTTAATGATTCTCTCTCGTTTCTATCACTCTCTCCCTCTCCTTTCCTCTCTGAAATAAATAAAAATATATTTAAAAGAGGGGTAGGGGTTGGTGCTCACCTGCAGGGCACATGTAGGGCACATGTGAAGATGGGCAGCAATGTGTGCAGGGGGCTGGGGAGAGGGGCCCTCCCTGGTGCACGCAGGGCTGGTGCTGGCTCTTTACCGGGCCTGCATTCTGGGTGTCTGTGAGGCATGGGGAGAAGTGGCTGCCCTGTGCTGGCTGTGGCAATACCTGGTGTTTGCTGTGTGTGGCCTTGTACAGCCCCATCTTCTCACATACATGCACAGACCATGCACTCACACCTGTGCACACTACCATGCACACTTGTGCATACCAAACGTGAACACCAGTGCACCTGCTACACGTGTGCACACCTGCTCACCATGCACATACACATATCATACACAGGTGTCCATGCCACATGCAGGCACACACACAAACAGGTGTGCATGAGATTCTGCCACTCTGACTTTAAGGAAAGGGTGCAGATGTGGCTCTGACAGCTGTCTTGTTTGTTGTCTCAGACACTGTGATTTCCAGGGGCCTCAGTCCCCTTCGCTGGAGAATTGGCACAGCCATGGGCCCATCCCCCCAGCATGATGGGGTAGGAGTGAGGAGGGTAGAGTGAGGAGGGTGGGAGTGAGGAGGGTGGGAGTGAGGAGGGTAGAGTGAGGGAGGGTGGGAGTGAGGAGGGTGGGAGTGAGGAGGGTGGGAGTGAGGAGGGTGGGAGTGAGGAGGGTGGGAGTGAGGAGGGTGGGAGTGAGGAGGGTGGGAGTGAGGAGGGTGGGAGTGAGGAGGGTGGGAGTGAGGAGGGTGGGAGTGAGGAGGGTGGGAGTGAGGAGGGTAGAGTGAGGAGGGTGGGAGTGAGGAGGGTGGAGTGAGGAGGGTAGGGTGAGGAGGGGAGCAGGCACAGAGGCTGATAGCCAACTCCAGCCAGGCCTGTGTCCTTGACCAGAGAACCCACTCCAGGGGGCTCCCAGCCACACTCCAGCCACCTCTGCTTCCCCGGGAGCGCCTGCCTGTCTGTGCTGCTCTGTCACCCTGGCCTGACATTTGTTCTTGGCCTTCCCCACAGTGGCCTCCCACGGGAGCGCCAATGCACGTGAACACGTGTGGGGTCCATGTGCACTCCTCAACTTCTCGGGGCAGGCGAATAGATTTTGCAGGTGGCAGAAACATGAAGTCATTACAAGTTTATGCAAACAGCTCACCTGGGAAGCTCCCACAGGATGCTGATCATTCTGCAGCAGGATAAACACTGGGCAGTCCCCGAGTCCCTGTGGAGAGCAGAGGGAGCATGGCACTCCCGACTGACAGGGCTCCTCCTCCCTCTCTGGAGGCTCCATCCCACCCCCCACTCCTCCTTGGCTACACAAGATCCTCCCCTTCCTCCGAGATCTTGCAGCCCCTCGGCCTGGCCTCAGTGTCTCCCTGTCGCTCCCTCCCTAAGTCTCTCCATCCAGCACCCCACCCCGCCGAAGGCCTTTCTCTGTCTCCAGTTTCCGACTTTCAGGCTGGGCTGGGTGTGGTGCGCCACCCTTCCCTGGGGCTGTTCGCACACCCGAATGTGGGTGGATGCGGAGAAAGGCGAGCTGGGAGCAGGCTGCTCTGTTTAAGGCCACAGTGAGGGGGCCAAGGCGACCACACCCACATGTCCCACCTTCAGCTCGGGGTGGGCTCTGAGAGGGCAGGGCCGTTCACATTCAGCTCCTCCTGGGCGATCTGGATGTGTCTGCTGAGCAACTTGGAGGGGGAGGCGGGCAGGCCCAAGAGCCATCAACAGCTCTGGGTGGATGTGTTTACCAGGCAGCCTGCCAGGCAGTGCAGATCACTGTTTACTAAAAACTTGATTGGTGCTCAGGGAGGTCACGTGACTCAGCAGGTTGCGTGGAGTGAGGGGCATCGTGGGTTCTGACCTGGGGCTTCTCCCTCTGCCCACCCTGACCTGTGTCTCCCAGGTCCTTTCTCTCAGGAGCTGAGGGAAGCGGGAGCTTCTGGGGTTTGTGTGGGCAGCACGTGCTCACGCACGGCGCAGGGGAGACCATGCCTGCCTCCTCCATCCCACACGTCCTGTGTGTGTCCCACAGGATGGCACCGCTGGTCCCATGGAGGGCAGTGTTCGCACCTGAAATGCTGAGCTGAGCAGCCGGCGCCCTCCTCCTCCGGGAGCTTCCCCGGGCGCTGGGCACCGGGAACAATGGGCACCATTCAGTGCGGCTCCTCGCACCAGCGGGAAGCACGGGCAGCCGAGACACTGTGCCCTTGTTGTCAGGGTTTTTCCATTCACAGAAGCCAGTCAGAGAGGCGGGTTTCTGGGGCAGCCAGAGCAGAAGCCCGGGCCCGGGCCCAGGAAACCGCACTGTGTCACTGAGCTTGGGCCACCTCGGCCCAGAGCGGGTGGGACTCGGGGGCCAGAGTCCTGCGGGCCCAGGCTGACCGGCTGCTGCGGTGCCCTGGCGTCACTCCTGGGCTGCGAAGGGCCCTCTAGAATGGTTGTGCCCAGGAAAGGGGAGCACAGGGCTGGCAGTGTCCCCCTCATCCTCCCCGGCACTGGGGCCATCTCAGTGGCCCAGAGGCAGCGCCCCTCTGAGAAGCATTCTTCTTTGGGATCTAAAACCTCCCTTCCGGAGTCAACAGCATTGGAAGTGGAAAGCAGAAGGACTGTGCGTGGTTGGCCGGATGGTGTGAGGGCCACCGCCATCACTTCCCGCGACCCCTGGACCCGTGTTCCTGGCTGGAGGGGGAGCAGCACCAGCTTCCCACAGGACGGCCCCTGAGCCTCGGCTGTTCTGGAACCAGCTGACAGGGGCGCTCCCGCTGCTCTGTGGGGCTCTGGGCACTGGGGCAGGGTGAGGCCAGGGGTCTTGTAGGCACTGGCTTTTGGCTACACTTCCTTGTTGTAAAATGAGTCCCTGATGAGAACAGTGATGTGTGGGACACTGTGATGGGTGGTGGTGTTGGCAGAAG